GGTTCAGTTTCAGATAGCTCCTCGTTCCAGCTTACACTTCTCGATATCTATAGGCCCCTTCCGGTGTAGTCGGTGTTACCTACAGGGATTTTAATCTGTTGCACTGGTCCCTTCTGAAGTGGTTCCCTTTGTTTAGTTGGCTTCTGTTTGCCTGTTTCTTCAGTGTCTAATTTCCGCCCTGACACAGGTGGGTCGAGGTGGTCTCTTGTTCAGGTTCGCTAGTTCCGTCGCGCTGCGGGGAGGGAAGGGCGCTGCTTTTCCCATCTACCCTGCTCAGGCTCCCGTCTGCTCTATATGGAGCGTGCCCTGCGTTGCGTGCGGTTCCAGCTTTCGGGTACTCCACAAAAGCACGGACTCGGTTGCACCTGCGTTTTGTGCCTTCCCTGGCCGGAGCAGCTCAGGCAGCCAGGAGCTTGACGGGCGTACTCTCCCCGGGTGCGGTGTGCCTTCTCCCCTCTGCGGCCCCAGCCTCAGTTTCCGCCCACGCCAGTTGGGTGTGTGCGCCCTGTGTTTAGCCACGACCCTCCCGGCGGATGTTGACCATCCAAAATCTCAGGAAGTCTTTGATTAGAAACTGGAGGCCTGTTTGCAGTGTGGTAGGGGATGCTGTCTTTCGGGCTGAGTTTGCCCCTTTCCCCTCCCCCCCGCCTCCTGCCTCCGGCGGGGCTGGGCCAGTCCACAGCCGGCTAGCTCCTCTGGACTTGCTCAGACCCTTTGTTCTGCGAACGGTCGGCAGTGTGTTCGGCCGGTTAATTTTCTCTCTCTCTTTTGCTATCCCACAGTTTAAGTTGCTGTTTCACAAAAGCTCCCTCCGATTGCCCTCAGGGCACTCAGGCCCGGTCCTTACCCTAAGCAATTCCGCCCGCTCCTCTCCGTTCCGCCCCCACTTGCTGGTGGCGGGTGCGGGCATCTGGGGTACTTTTCTCCTGGGAGTTGCTTTTAGGCACGTAATCTGTGGGTTTTATTTATTTTCCCTCCCAGTTAGGTTGCCCTCCGAGATTCGAAAACTTCCCCCAGACCCGCCAGTGCGAGGGCTTCCTGGTATTTGGACACTTCCTCTATTAAGACTCCCTTCCCGGGACGGGTCTCCGTCCCTAGCTCTTTTGTCTCTCTTTTTATCTTTTATATGTTGTCCTACCTCCTTTTGAAGACAATGGGCTGCTTTTCTGGGTGCCTGATGTCCTCAGCTAGCGATCAGAAGTTGTTTTGTGAAGTTTGCTCAGTGTTCAATTGTTCTTTCGATGAATTTGTAGGGGAGAAAGTGGTCTCCCCGTCCTATTCCTCCACCATCTTGGCTCCTCCTCCAGTTATGTGGTTTTTATTGTGTCTCTGGCCCCTACTGCAGAAGGCCACATGCTGTCCTTTGGATCATGAGGTGGTCTGTTTGACCCATCATGGTTTGAACTTGCATTTTCAAAGCTGTGAAAGCTTATGTGATTCCTCCTAACCTCATTGACAATTGACTTACACAATAAGGTTACAGATTTGCTGGTTGCACCTCAAAGCAAGCCTGCCAGGTGGACCTCCTAGCCTCAACATCACCAGCTTTGCCTTCATCTTATTTCCGCCCCCCTGCAGATTAAAGATGGCTTCTTGTTAACTCATGCTCTGATTTCCTAAATCTTCATGGTCATAGCTTGGTTTCCCCATAAGATTGGTTGATCTGAGTTCAGGGCTGGGAGATACAAAAATACAGCTAGACACAAATTCCTTAGGGACTGTGCTGGGACCAACAATTTTTGTGGGGTCTTGGAAGAAGTTGAAGGAGCCCCCAGAATGAGCTGTTAGGTAGCTCTTGTTGAGTTGGTTCCACCATCTCTGAGCTCTGTTGAGCATATTTTCTTTACTCTTCTATGAATTGTGTTACGGTTTGCTATTATTTGTGAATTTGGTATCCTCAATTGATATATTCTCTCTGTGTTGTTATCATTTACTAAAGGTTTTACCAGTTTTGAGAAATGCAGAAGGTGTTTGGCTGTGAGCTCCTCTTCTTCCCCTCAACTCTTGGGATTTGGACATTCAAAGGCCTTTATTGTTTCTTCTTTAAATTCCTATAAAAATCAGAAGATTCTTACTTTTTTTTTTTAACTCAGTGCCAATTCTGTGATGGCTGTAGTTTTAAACTGAAGAGTAGCCATCATTTATTGAATGCATATTACTTGACTGACACTTTCCATCACTTATCAATCTTTACACTGACCCTATTCAGAAAGTATTATTAGCCCATTTTGTGTCATGCAGAAATGGAGGCTTAGAGACATTAAACTAAATATACTTAGGGAGTAAGTGGCAGAGTAGAGATTTGGATCCAGCTCTGACAGAATCCAACATTTATAGCTAGACCAAACTAGTGTGCAGACTGGGTCCAGTCCAAAGAAATGAAGGCACAGATGATGTTTTCTAATTTGAATAAAATACTGGCTAACATTTAAAAATTAGGGGATTACATTCAAAAGTCTGGATTCTATCTTCTCTTTAAAGAAGTCAGAAGATTGGGCACAATGTGCTCATATTCCTACATGGCAGCTGTCAGGAACCCTAGGGAGTGGCTGCTCCCCTTAGAGGAGGCATGTGCTTGCAGGTGGACAAATCCTCTCCCTCGTATTACAGGCCACCTTGTGCAGCTTACCACCTCACCCACTAGGGTCACCTGTTTGGAATCTACATTTCTTTGACTTTACAATCTTTGTTCTAGTCTCTGGAGATGGTCTGCCTTAGGGTTGGAGTCCTGTTTTTATGATTTGCTAACTGTGTCACCTTGGACAAGTTATTTAACTCCGTGAATCCTCAGCTTTCACATCTCTAAGATGGTGATAAGAATAGCACTTAGCTCTTGAGGTTTCTCTGAAAGTTACGTGTGGTAACTTCCATAAAGAGCTTAGCATGATGTCTGATACATCATAAGCTTTCTATCAATAGAATAGTTAGGTGTTATTAATAAGCACTATCCTGATTAACCACTCTTCTCAGAAAATAGAGTTCAGCAAAGTTTGAACAAGAACCCTTTCTCAGGGTCAGCCTAAATTGTGAACAAGGCCATCAGACCATTGGCCATGGAAACATGATCATGTTGTAATTGGCAATGTGAGTCTGACATTAGACTGACATGGTTCAAGTTCAACCTCTGACATTACAGGGATCTTGGACAAATTATTTAGTGTCTTTCTGCCTCAGATTCGTCACTCATAAAATGGGCATGAGAATGGTACCTAATTCATAAGGTTGTGGTGAGGATCAAGTGAATTAATACATGTAAAATGCTTCAGAACAGTGTTTGGCACATACCGTGCACTCAATGGATGTTACCCACTATTGAAAGCAATTAGTCAGTGTGCCATTTGCCAAATCTGTGTTTCCTTCTGCAAGATTAAGGTAGAATATTTGAAACTGGATTATCATGAAAAATTTGGGAAATTTGGAAGCTGAGTCACTTGCCTTCATTTCCCATGTTCTCAGTTCCCTGCACTTTCTGTCCTCTACATCCTCTTAAAGCTGCAGTTTCGCATCTGATCATCAAGTCGCATCCAATGAACTCAGCCTTATCTTTTACAAGGGACAAAAGCTTAAACGATCAGCTAGCTTCATACTGTCAATTCTCAAAAGGGAGGCAGAGGCTGAGAGGAGCCCCGTGGCTTGCCTATCACTACATTGTGACAAATCAAGAGCTGTCAACCTTACTGGTATATTTACTAAATGACAGTGGGATTTTGTCTATTTTGATAGGTGGATGCAGCTTAGAATCCAACACATAGCTGGTGCAAGAACTCTCCTCTCTCCTCTTTCACTTAGTTTTTCCTGTCCCACAAACCTTGCTTAATGAGGCCTTGATCCAGTTAATGTACTAAGAGGACTACTTTGTCTTCCCTGGAGGGATCTAAGCACTGTGACCCTCCATAGCATGTAGAGCTTGTTCCCTGATGGGTTCTGTTTTCCCTTCTCTGTGACTTGCCTCCCTGGACCACATTCCAATGTGCCTGCTGGCTCATTTGTCTCCTTGGGCTGGCTGCCTTGTTTGGTGGGTTTTAGCGAGGATTCTGATCAATGCCAGGAGGTGAGGGGAAGGGCTTCCAGTGGGCTCAATCATTGGACAAGCAGACTTGGTGATGGATGAGCCTTTTCCCCAGTGAGTCTTGACTCTGGAGAAGTCCAGCTGGTTAAGTTTTTCCAGAATGGAGTAAACCAGAAACAGTGCCAGCAGCATCTTACCTCTTGTGGTTTTTGTATTGATCTTAAAGGAAATTCTCTGTGGCAGCTCCACATCTCACTAGAAAATACCAGCTGCATCCATGATAAGCTTAGATATATGTCATATGAGCTGTTTTAGAAAAAACATTTGAAGAGGAGTGGGAGGAAGGAAGAGAGGGTCTTTTTAAAAAAAATCCCTTTCAAAATATTTTCTTTCTCCTCAGTATTGAAAAGGCACACTATAAACCTTTCTTCTTCCAAATGATCTCATAGCTATTTATTGAAGGGAAATACCAAATGTTTATTTATTTATTTTAAAAGGAGCTTCTTCGGTTCTGATGACTCACGTCGATATAGTTTTCCTCCTAACTGCAGAGGTCTGAGGCAGAGCAACACCTCAACTGATGTGCCGGTGTCAGAACAATTCCTGTCCTGGAGGAGGTTGTGCAACCTTCTTTATTCCCCCTTCACAGACGTCCTTGAGCCCTTGAGACGGATGTGAGCGAGTTTTCAGTCCTCATGCAAAACAACCATCTAAACATAACAGATGACATCAGCTCAGGCTTTTCAATTCCTGGATGGCAGCAGCGTGTTAATCCAGCCTTCATCCTGGATTTCATAAACTAAAACAAGAGAGCCTGGCAGGAGGACAGCGCTGCTGCTGGGTTGAGGAAATTGATGACGGGGAAGCATGCGGGCAACCCAGTGTATAAAACTCATAAACGTGTAGGCAGACGCTCAGCTACCACTTTGGACGGCGGCTTCCCGCCAGCAGAGACGCCGCCGCGGGAAGCGGAGCCCGAGCCGCGGGAAACATGAAGCGCCTCCTGCTGCTGGCCACGCTGCTGGTCCCCGCGCACCTGGCGGCCGTCTGGAGCCTCAAGTACGCGGTGGATTGCCCCGAGCGCTGTGACAGCAGCCAGTGCAGAAGCAGCCCGCGCTGTAAGAGGACAGTGCTAGACGACTGTGGCTGCTGCCGGGTGTGCGCCGCGGGGCTGGGAGAAACCTGCTACCGCACAGTCTCGGGCATGGATGGCGTCAAGTGTGGCCCCGGGCTGAGGTGTCAGTTTTACAATGAGGAGGATGATTTTGGTGACGAGTTTGGTATCTGCAAAGGTAAAGAGCGACCCCTTGCTTCTTGTCCCTTGCTTAGGGCACCCTGCAGGCTTTTAGCCAGCGTGGGAAGAGAGGAGCCTTTCCTTCTCATGCAAAGAGGGGAAATGCAGGTGGGTTTAGGGACTAGGTTCCCCCCACAGGTGCTGTCACAGGGAGAGAGAGAAAGATAACTTTACAGATTGCGGGTGAACCCTGCATGCAAGAAAGCTCAGAAAGAAATATAGCGTTTCACTCGTGATGTTTAAGAGATTTTTTTTTTTTTTTTAAGTTGCAATGGAAAATTGTGTTGCTTCCTTTTCTGGAAGACTTTAGAAATTTGACAGATAATCTGTTATGGCTGGAGTAGGTGGTCTCTCTTCTATAGGCAGTGATTACAGAGGTCTGCCTTGGATAACCTCTTGGAGTGGTGGCTAGCCCTGGGATTTAGTAATTCTTTGATCTTAAGAGAGTCCACAGGGTTGAGGGCACCTTTCACGATCAAGTATTTCTGATGCACACTAATGCACTTTGTGAAATAAGATGACTTAAATCATCTAGCAAAAGGAGTCACGTTCTTGGAAGAGGATACCCTGAAGTATCAAACAAACCTAGAAAAATAACAGAGTAAAACAAGCAAAAATAGCGAGCGCCTAAAGAAAAAAATTGAAACTCTGTAAAGAAAAAGACTTAAAGAAAGACATTATTAGATTGCAATTATAGCTAAACAGTGTAGTTCAACATTTGTAGAATTTATTTCAAACTTAGTGAGTGCAGCTTAAAATGTTTAGAAATGAAAAAATGAAGATTTAAAAATACTCTGTGTATGGATACCTCATGATCTCAAGGATTATTATTAAGGTTCAGTTACATATGTGATAGCTCTATTCATCAGTTTTGTAGTACAAAGAAGATTTTAAAATTAAAGGGACTAAGTTTCTAAATAATTCTTAATGTGTTTAATACAATTGTAAGCTTTTATGAATAGTAATCATCCAGTATTGAGCTAATCTCATGAATTCTTTTAGAAAAATGTAAGTCGATTAACTTTTAAGCCACAAAACATACTAAAGATTAGGAAATAGATGGTTGAACTTTAAGGAGAATTTTAGTTTTTTGTTTAGTTTATTTTTGTTTATAACCAATGAAAAGTAGAATACTGAGGAAACATTTTCTTTGGTGGACATTCACAGACATTTCTTTCAGCTGAGTGGGATCTGTGATTTCTGTAAATTATAGGGCTTATCAGCCAAGAAAAGAGTGCTTCACATAAGGAAATTAGGGAGGAAGTGGTTAACACAATCATACTTACTATATAACAAGTATATGCCGTGTATTGCTTTTTCTCTTGGCATACAAACTGACTCAGTATATGTGATTGTAAATGTCCAGTTACATATGGGTAAAGAAACAGGCTGTAAGGCATCTGGAGTCTTTCACACTCCAATATTCACTGAATGATCTAGGTAGCTGTTAATAACATATATTTTAAAAAGCTGTTTAGGATAGCTCTTAGACATCCTTCAGATTGCAAATGGGTCTGGTTACGAACATTTTTCTTTCTGCTGGAAATAGTGAAGCTGTGTGAACCTCGACAGCTACATAGAGACGTTGTATTTTGCTATAGGTGAAATTTTGTCCTTCAGCTTTTTTTTTTACAGAACACCTCTGTGAAATCTGTATACTATAGCTGCATATCTGGATGTTTTCTAAATATTCAGATATTTTGCACTGCTTTGCCCAGATAGCAATATTTATTGAACACCTACTATCTGCCCAGCGCTATTCAGTATATTGGGGGATACAGTAGGAGCATAACTGAGAATTTGGCTAAAGTTTTAGTTTTCAATATCACTGGAGACACAGTTATATCCTAATCCTGTGTGTTTTTCTACCAGAGGCTTTCTCAGTATCTCTTCTAAGGACTTCTTTTTTCCTAGCGAGAGACTAGTGTTTAAAACCAGGTGCTTCTCTAATCTGAAGGATGTGAAGTACAGCAGTCATAAATCTCTTTAGAAATGTATTTCATTAATAGCTATCTTGATTATTCTGTGGACAATATTAGATTGCCAAAGACTTAGATGCCTCACAATTTATTTCTTCACCCATGTGTGACTGAACATTTACAAGGACATTCTTATGCCAGGAGAATAAATATTCTGCATCTATTCTGCTTGGCTGTTCAGGGCTGGCTATTCTATTGAGATGCTGTTCACATCATAAAAAAACATGCACTTTTAATAATGAATTTGTTCTCTTTTTCTCAATATAGTATGTTTTAGTCTAAGTATGGGAACATCGAAGCTCTAAAAGCTTCCAGATTTGGGTAGGTATATAAATATATTCTCAGCTTTCTTCTCATTTAGCATATTGTATTTTAGCTCTGCAGAAGACTTTATTAGTGAATCTTCTTAACATCTGGAGGAGTTGAGTATGTTTGTACTGTTGTTTTGATAGATAAGGAAGTTGATAAGAGTTGGAGCAGATTGAGGATTGGTCACTTGATGAAGAGCTGAGATGACAGCCCTCTTAGCCCCTGGTTAGTTTAAGCCCTTTCCTAGACATTTAAAACAGTAAATTGCCTGTGACTACAGGGAATTCAAAGACAGCATCATATCTTTTGTGAGGGGCTGATACACATGTCTTTTCAAGTGCCCACTTCACTGAGCTGGCACAGAGGTAGCCCAGTGAGATCCTGCCTTTTGGTTTCTAAGCAGACAGTAGACAGAATTAAAACCAGTTCAGAGATACTGGTTATGTGTATCTATCTTCAGCTAAACTTCACAGCAAGGCACTACAATTAAGGCACCCATTATTTGGTCTTAGTGTGTGGTTTCACATTTGTGACTTTAAGCGTGGGATTCACATTTCATATTTTCAAAGCTTGGGTTTTTTTAATAGTTGGGCTTTATCTGATAGTCGAAATTCATGAGGTTTGTTCAACTACTGAGGCTGTGCACACAGGGACTGTGAAGTTAGAAGCTTCTGTACATCAAGAGCGCCCTCTCTCAACCTTCCCTTTGTTCTCAGACTGCCCCTTCGGCACCTTCGGGATGGAATGCAAACAGACTTGCAGCTGTCAGTCTGGCATCTGTGACAAGGTGACTGGCAAATGTCTGAAGTTTCCCTTCTTCCAGTATTCAACAGCCAAGGCTACCAACCAGAGATTTGTATCACACACAGGTAAGAACTGATTCCCAGGTAAACATTGAAACCATAGTCTCATTTTCAGTTTGAGTAAGAAAAATTATGAATGAGTAGAACAAGATGTTGGTTTAAATGATTTTGTTTCTTTTATTCTACTTATGGGAAAGGTAGGTGGTTGTTGAAATTTGTTGCAATGTTACAAAGAGACTTCATTAATAATTTTTAGATTATACAATTTTTCACAAAGTTTACCCAGTGTACACAGGGGATAAATATGATTGATTACCCAAAAAGGTAATAAAAATAACCAAGATATACAAAGCTCTTAAAATTCTTTGGTGATCTGTTTTATATATGTACTAGACAAAGCTACTTCCCTCCCAACTTAAAGTGAAGGAGTATTCTGAGGAATTTATTGGATAAGGCTTAAGAGCCAACATAGAAAATATAAAACATTTCTTTTTAAAAACCAAGTGGAAGTATTTAAGTGGAATAATTCCAAGCATGTCTTTTTGTGGATTTTGGAGAGAATAAGAGATAGTATCTATGATTAAAATTTGGGAATCATCTCTAAACCTTTGAATGAAAATGTAATAATACTCACATGCTGATTGTTAATGCTTATGTATTTCTTACACAAGTTGTTAGAATGTAAGAAATACAGCTTGTAAGATAATGTTAAGCGTATAGTTGGTTATCTTGTTGAATAAATGGTTAAATTGGAAGTAGCTCATTTAAAACAACGTGTAGCCACAGCAACTGCGAGTATCCACAAACTATATACTTTTCCCCCCTTAGATATAGTTGACAATCCAGACTTACTTCAGTTCTTGTTTCTTGGTTCTTCACACTTCAAATTAATTAAAATTTGAAATATTTGACAAATGTGTTTATTCCTTAGCTTTACCTCCTTCTTACACATGGGTTCAGTTAAGAACCTCAAATAAATGGGAAATATTGTATTTTTAAGTGAATTATTAAGTGTGGCTTTGGCCTTAAACATTGAAGTGAAATCTTTTTAAAAATAAAACCTTATTGCAAGAATATCTTTGTGAATACTTGATCTGGAAATTAAGATCAGTATTAACATTTTAAATACTTATGACTTGTCCCTATAGTCTTTGACAAACAATATAGAATAAAATTGAATTTTAAGTCCTGAACAATTTTTTATTGAGGTGAAATTCACCTAACATAAAATTAACCATTTTTAAGTGAAAGATTCAGGGCAGTACATTCACAGTGTTAGGAAGTCACAGCTTCTATCTAGTTCTTGGACAATTTTCTCAACTCAAAATAAAACCAGTGCCCATCAAGTAGTGACCCTCACTCTTCAGCCCCTAGCAACCTCCAATCTACTTTCTGAAATTTTTTGAATGGTTCAGCTGTCAGGTTCCCCAGGTGGCTTCCCAGGTGAAGGACCTGCCTGCCAATACAGGAGACTTAAGAGACAGGGGTTCAGTCCCTGCATAGGGAAGATCCCCTGGAGGAGGAAATGGCAGCCCACTCCAGTAGTCTTGCTGGCAAATCTCATGGACAGAGGAGCCTGGTGGGCTATGGTCCATAGGGTTGCAAAGAGTCAGACATGACTGAAGCGACATAGCACGCACACACAGGTTTGAAACTTATTGTTTCAGCACTGCTAGTTGCCTCAAATACTTGAAACTTCTTTTGTCTTATTTTGCTTTCTTAAAACCACAGGTTACAAAGAACACTGAAGGAACAACTTTGTTAATGGAATCCCTCTTCTCTCTTAACATTGCTCCTGACCTTTCTCACCAAGAGAGAATTGAATCTGGTGAATCTTTGTCAATCTTTGGGGTGTATGTCTGGGTGGCATGCTCTGGAACTCCTCTGGAATGTCCTCGGTGATGGAACTCTTTTCTTTGCTTTCTGCTGCACACACAGGAGCACATCTTCTGCTTCTCTGGACCAGTGTGCTGTCTCTTTCCTTCGGGCCTATCACTTTCTCTCATTTGCTGGCAGATTCTGCAAAATTCCTAACCAATGTATAGTTGCCTTGGAAAAAGATACTCTGGACCCTTGAACAACATGGATTTGAACTGTTTGGGTCCACTTATACACACATTTTACCCCCAATAGATATAGTATCTATATTTTCACTTTACAGATCTTTAAATTAAGTGTGGGGGAAGGGATTTGTTTTCAATTAGAGATCACAGTCCACGGAGTCAATAGAACTAGGGTTGGAGTCCTGATTTTATCCAAACTCTTTCAGCTTTCTGCCCTTGGGTGAGTCATTTACTAGTTACTTTGTTTAGGGGGCAGACATAGTGGTAGGCAGATTTTCCACTGCTCAGGGGTCAGCACCTCTAATACCAGCATTGTTCAAGGGTCAACTGTATTTTGCTGGATGAAAATTACATTAAGGGTTACATAAAAAATATTTCTGTACTCAATTAGATATCAAGATTCTTATTAGAAATTTATGGAAAATGCATTTTCTGACCTAAGGTGTTTCCTTTGATAAAGGAGCAACTAAAGATGACTATTAGGGTCCTCCTCTTAAATCTTCCTGGTGGCTCAGCTGGGAAAGAATCCCCCCTGCAATGTGGGAGACCTGGGTTCAATCCCTGGGCTGGGAAGATCCCCTGGAGAAGGGAGCAGCTACCCACTCCAGTATTCTGGCCTGGAGAATTCCATGGACTGTACAGTCCATGGGGTCTCAAAGAGTTGGACACGACTAAATGACTTTCATTTTCGTAAACCTTAGATTGAGGATGGAGTGCAGAATATCCTAAAAAGCTCATGGTAAGGATGTGCAGGAGCCCTTCTGTTCAGTTGTGCATCTCCACGTGGGACTTAATGGGCTTTAAGTGTTACTGTTTTCAGGATGGGGCTTGTTTGGGGCCTCAGTCCTTGCCATGAGTTTCACATCATCTCTGCCCAAGTCTGTTTGGGCCCAGTCTTTGTAAATGGCGCCAAGGTTCCTCAGCACAGGGACTTCGGAGGAGCCTTTTATACCTTGATTGAATGCAGTGGTCTTTTCTAACTTTCTACCTGTTGGTCCTAGCAACCTTGGCAAGTGGGCTTCCTGGTTTCTCGTTTTCATTTGTTGTCATTGCTGTTTTTGTTGTTTAGTAATTAGTTCTCCGACTTTCCAAGACTGGATATTCACAGCATTTTTTTTTTTTTTTTTTTTTTGCGGGGGATAATGGTTGAGTTTCATGAATTTACATGCATTTATCTACTGGACCATCTTAACCTCCTAATAGCATTCAATTCCAGAATGTACACTGCAGAAGCAAACATACTTCACTAGTCTTAGAAGCAGAAAATTTCATTAAAAAATTCTAAATATTAGAAACTTGTTAGGTAGAGCAAGGATTATTTGTATAAATGTTTATAAAAGGCCCTTTGGTGTGCTTTCTGCATTCTAGAGCCACATCAGTAAGCTAATTCCTCTTCCATATCAGATAGTAAAGAATCTTACTTAGAGATCTATACTTACACCATTCATTCATTCATAGAGATCTATACTTACACCATTCATTCATTCAGTAAGTATTAAGTGCCTACCATGTTCCAAGCACTGTTGCAACAGTGAACAAAACAAAGTCCCTGCCATCATAGAGCTGATATTCTAGTGGTACAGTGAGATAAAACCAGGGGGAAAAAAAGACAAATAAATGTAGAGAATAATGTCAGTTGACGATGGGTGAACGAAGATGTTTAATTCAAGGAAATGCTAATTGGTAGAGGGACGGTGAACATGGAATAGACTTTTCAAGTCTATTATAGATTTCATTGTAAATGTGTTATAATACAAAAATAAGACAAAATTGTACTTAATTTTGGAGTTATAGATGCTTGGACATGATTTATATTCCTTCTAATTTCAGAGCATGACGTGGCATCTGGAGATGGTAATGCTGTGAGAGAAGAACTTGTGAAGGAAAAGGACACCCGATCTCCTGTAACGAAGTGGTTAAATCCACGCTGATCCTGGGTGAGGTTTCTGAGAGAAGACCCTGTTTTAACAATCATTCAACACACAGCCAACATTTTAGGAATTCTCTGTATTATAGCATATGGACATATGATTTTTGGAGACCAAGTGCGATTTAGGGTGGGTCCAGGAAAAAAAAGTAGGCTACTAACAATCCATAAAATGCATATGACTGAACTCTTTTAGATATTTGTTAAATATTTGAATGCATATAGATTTGTTAAATATGTGTTTTTAGTTGTAGTGAAGAACTAAAGATGCGATCTGGATAACCTTAACTTGGAGGGAAATCAGCCAAAGAGAAGGCTAGCCAAAGCTGAAGACCACAGCCAGTATATGACTCTTTGACCTGATGTACATTAATGTCCAGATATGGCTGGAAAGAATTAAGAGCAAGCGAAGGTGGGGGTGGCGGCTGGGAGAGAATGATATTTAGGTCTTCCTTTGGTAGCTTCAGTAGAATTTACTTGTGCTTTTTTTTTTTCCCCACTTTGGAAAAAGTCAAAACAAAACAATCCTTGAAGGAAGTGGGACGTTTGAAGCTTGTGGGAGTTTGAACAGCAGCCTTGAACTGAGGCAGGTTTCAAAGGATGGCTAATGTAGTTCCCAGTTTATTGCATCTGAAGGATGGCTCTGGGGTACAGGGCAAACACATATTTGCAGAAATGGTTTTAAAGAATGCCACCTCAGATTAAGAGTAAGGAAGTATTTTGCCCATTTAGGAGAAGTGTGAAGGTAAATATTTATGTATTTTTGTAAACACTTGTTAGTACAAGTCATCCTCATACCCATATTTATCACTCTCTTGAGAAAATAAGCATAATGTCATCGTTTAAAATGGTTAGAATAAAAGTATAATTCTCTAAGCTTTTCAAACATCCAAGGCATGGTAAATTTATTATCAATAATTATAGTAATATTAACAGTAAGTATAAGAGAAACCTAGAAAAATTTAGTCACCATGGATTAAATGTCAAAACACATGAGGGAATTTATTTAAAAGTTAAGTGCAATGATTTAGGTGAGCTTTAAATTTAAAGTAGAAAATGCTTTTTATTAAGTTTGGAAAAGAGTCAATTTTAGCAGGAAATGTCAACTTTAAAATATAGTTCATTTTAATGTATTTTTTCTTTAAACTTGGTTGATAAGTGGAATTATGAGTACCCTTGGAAGGATCTTAGCACAAACAGGACTGTTGTACTAGATTTTGTTAGGAAATATTTGCAGAAGTATTTTATTTGGAGTGAAGAATTATTTAAGATTATTTCACTATTTGCCTGTACTTTATTCTTGAAGTTTGCCTACAGAGTTGTGAATGTGTGTGTGGGAGGGTCTTTTAATGTAAGCTGAATAAGCTGTTTAGATTTCTTTTAAAAAGACAAGTTTATGATTGATCAATAAAAAAAAAAACCAAGACAGTCACTCCTGAGTCCATTCATGACTTCACTGATCATTAAAGTATTTAAACGATTCATTCAATGAATAATAACTCATTAATGCACATTAAAGGACAGGCTTCTCATGTAAATTTTCTCCTACAGATAAGCATCTTCTGTCAAAAATTTTCCTTTGCCTTTTTACAGCTTCCTAAAAAAGTTGGTCCTTGTATATTAACACATTTCACAGAGGCAAAACAAAAAACAAACAAGAAAAGACTTCTATTGGTGTTTGACAGTGGTTACAAACATTTCAGTTAGGCAAACATGTCAGTGCCTATAAGAGTAGACTAACATACAGCTTTGAAGCTTGAGAATATAAAAATCAAGAATAGTATTCAACCCAACATTGTATAATTCAGCTACACTTCAATAAAATTAAAAAAGAATAGTATAAGTTCACTCAGTCTTATATGAAAATTACAGAAATCTTTTAAGTGAATTGATACAGTGCTGAAAAAATTATGTTTGCATTAGGAAAAATATTGAGTTTGCATAAATTAATTCTTTTTTTTAAAGAGGGGAGAAACTGGATGTGAATGAGATAATGCTACATTAATATAAGGTATAAATGTTATTATTAAGCAAAGCAGAAAGCATAAAAAATCTTTACTTTCACCAGTGTGCAGTGACGTTTCAGAATACGCTTTCAAGGGGTAGGGTTACTTAAAGATCTGCCATCTTGAACTGAAGGCCAGGACACAGTTCCGTTGCCCCTTTGGGATAGTGAATGGTGGAATACGAGCTAGACTAGGGCAGGGCTTGCCTCTGCTCCTGACTCTGCAGCAACCATGTATGTGACCACAGACAAACAAAGGTGGGTTGATCCAGTCTTAGTTGCAGGCATGTTTTCTAGCTACCCAGCTTCATGCTACTTTTTCTTTCTTCATTCCAAACACTAGTACCTATCTATCTTAAATTGCTCTGTCATCTTCTGACTCTCTTCTTCATAGCAGTGGTCTCCTAAATCTTTGGATTTTGCATATTTTTATTGCAGTTTTTGAGCATGCAATTTTATATACACATAGCATGGTATTAGTACATTATGTTCATTATAAAATGTACACTCAAACTAAAAATTTTTAAAAGGATAAGAGATACATAGAAATTCTGAGAGTTTCTTCCTCCATCCCAATAGGCTATCCTGGGAGTCACCCGAGAAACAAAAGAAAATGCCATGGCTCAGTGATCTCTAGTGAGGCCCAACCTCATTTGATTTTGAAGAGAAACCAAGCTGGCACACATTCCACATAATAAATATTTCTAGGATGAGTGGATGAATGGATGAATGAAAGGGTGGTTGGGTAGACAGGTGGGTGGAAGGATAAATGGGAAGAGAGAAGGATGAGTAGATGGATGAATTGGAGGAATGAATGAAGCAGGTGATAGGCCTTCTGCCTCCAGCAGAGCCACAGCTACTGAGGGAATAGATGGCTTCTTATTTCCTTTCATCTGCCAGCTCCCCTGTTTCCTTGATGGGCAAAATCCCAATGCATATTGGGATTGAAAAAAACAGGGGTGTATGTTAGAGTCAGTGAGTATGACAAATAGGTTGCCCAGGGCAACAGAGACAGGGAGTTTGTCTCCCCCAGGCACAGGGAACATCACTTGGTAGCCAGACAGGAGTGTTATTTTCTGCGAGAGGCAATTTGGGAAGACTACTGCTTCCATCCTACCCATTATCCCTTCCGTTTATCCTGAGCTTCCTAGAAGAGAAGAATCCATAGATGTAATTCAACATCACACAGATATTTAGAGGGTGAATTGATTATTTCTGATTATTCATCAGTGAACATTAGTCATTAAACTAAGGCTAAGGTTCAAAGTGTATATGTTACAGAGCAGTGGTTCTCAAAATTGAATGTGAATCAGAATGGAGACGCAGACATAGAGAACAGACTAGTGGACACAGTGGGGGAGGGAGAGAGAGCTACCAGTTGAAAGAGTAGTATGGAAATGTATCCATTACCATGTATAAAATAGGCAGCCAGTGGGAATTTGCTGCATGACTCAGGGAGCTCAGACTGGTGCTCTGTGACAACCTAGAGGGCTGGGATGGGGTGGAAAGTGGGAGGGAGGCTCAAGAGGGAGGAGACATATGTATACTTATGGCTGATTCATGTTGACATATGGCAGAAACCAACACAATATTGTAAAGTAATTACCCTCCAATTAAAAATAAATTTAAAAAATTTATTGTGCATCAGAATCCTTCAGTTAGTCAGTTCAATTGCTCAGTCGGGTCTGACTCTTGCAACCCCATGGACTGCAGCACACCAGGCTTCCCTGTCTATCAGCAACTCCTGGAGCTTGCTCAAACTCATGTCCATCGAGTTGGTGATGCCATCCAACCATCTCATCCTCTGTCATTCCCTTCTCCTCCCGCCTTCAATCTTTCCCAGCACCAGGGTCTTTTCCAGTGAGTCAGTTCTTTGCATCAGGTGGCCAAAGTATTGGAGCTTCAGTTTCAGCATCAGTCCTTTCAATGAATATTCAGGGTTGATTTCCTTTAGGATTGACCAGTTTGATCTCCTTGCAGTTCAAGGGACTCTCAAAAGTCTTCTCAAATACCACAGTTCAAAAGCATCAATTCTTCAACACTCAACTTTCCTTATGGTCCAACTCTCACATGCATACATGACTACTGGAAAAACTGTAGCTTTGACTAGATGAACTTTTGCTGGCAAAGTAATGTCTCTGATCTCAATATTCTGTCTAGGTTTGTCATAGCTTTTCTTCCAAGGAGCAAGCATCTTTTAATTTCATGGCTGCAGTCACCATCTGTGGTGAATTTAGAGCCTAAGAAAATAGTCTGTCACTGTTTCCATTGTTTCCCCATCTATTTGCCATGAAGTGATGGGACCGGATGCCATGATCTTTGTTTTATGAATGTTGAGTTTTAAGCTAGCTTTTCCACTCTCCTCTTTCACATTCATCAAAAGGCTCTTTAGTTCCTCTTCTCTTTCTGTCATAACGGTAGTTTCAACTGCATATCTGATATTCTGCATATCAGAATCCTTTGTAAAGCACAAATTACTGCTTTGGTATGTCTGAGGTGATGCCCAAGGATTTTCCATTTTAACAAGTTTCCAGGTGATGCTGATGCTGCTGATCCAGGGACCACACTTCTAGAATCAAATTTAGATTTGCCTAGAAGTGAGATAAACTAAGGGGCTATCAAAAGCTATCATTGATGGCCTTATGAAAGAATAAGTTGCAATATTTATTCACCACTTGGTTCATTTAATATTTTACTTGAAGATACTTAACTATATAAGTTGCTGAGAAGGTTCTCTGAAATGTCAGAGAAACTTTAAGCTAAACCATGGAGACTTGTGAGGGGCAAGTAGAGGATTATAGGGGGAGGGTAGAAGTGGAAGAACCAAAGACTCAGAAAGTAATCAAGGAACCTGTGGCCTCGAGGAGAGTGATGAGCGGTGCCATGTGTTGTGGAACAATCAGGCAGACCCGAAGAGTCCCTGGTAGCCAGAGTTGAGAAAAGTCCATGAGGAGGTCAGTGCAGAAGTGTGAATGAAGGGCATTGAAAACTGCATGCAG